ACATGCACAATAGAAAAAGCAAGCAATGCCTCCAATATGACACTGAAGCTCACAGAAATCAGACTAAGGTCACTCTTACCTTCAAAATTAAGCTACACTTCCCCAGCCATAAGCACAAAGCCATGAGCACATACTTATCTGGTGAATTGAATGAAGCTTGAGGACCAGATGTTTCCCATCTGAGTTTTAGATTATGCTAAACATAAAACCATTAGGAAACTCCTGCATGAATGGTTTAACTTTGTATTTAAAAAAAGCATTTGACATAGACATTACCTTAGACTTTAGAAAGTTTTAGTGTTCTTCTGATATCAAAAGTTTGAGTAAAGTTAGAACAATTTTACTAGCAAACAAACTTCCATTTCTTAATATGCAGACTCCATCTTCATAGGGCTGAAACAAATTTCTGGTAAGTGATGATATCAAACTAAGAACTGGATTTATTTTCTCCGGATTGAATTTTGGTATTAGATAGAAAACCAAAATATATCCGTTCCTGTTGTTTCTTCTGTGTTGTATCGAAAACTGCAGTTCACATGTGTGGATTGAATCATGAATTGTCAAACATCCCCTTGGGAATTAGGCTATAGATAATCATAAGCCCTGTAAGAAAATTGTCCGGTTTAGAAAGGGAAGTAATCAAAGTATCAGTAGGAAATTATACTATAGCAAATCTTCAATTGGTAATGTTATAATGGTAAAATAACTGAAAAGATTTTTTTGAAAAGCTGTGATGTTCCATAACTGTTGGATTGCATCTTTGTATTTAGAATAGTAAGGATACAAGTTATACAGAGTTTGTTAACTTGAAACATTGCCTTGTCTGGTAACATACCAGGATTTTAAAAAATAAACAAGGGAGGAGCAATTGACATCAGCACTCAGGCAAAAATGTCTTAATACCAGAAAAAAATTATGGTCTAAATTCCACATATTAACTTGCCACATAAGTTAGGTTACAATTAAACTGGCTCAGTAGTGAGACATGTTCCTTTAGTATATTAACCTAAATATTTAATAACATTATCAACACACATCTATCTAGATGTCTTCCTAATTTTTTCCTGCTATTTATCAGATACACACAGCACTTCAAAACTACTCTGGGTCTCATTCTGTTTTAAGAGTATCCCTCTATCATATAAGCCAGAGGAAAATAGTGACATTTAACTGGGACAGTAGCAAACTCTAGTTATGATTACCAAAAATCCAAGTTTGAGGTTTAAGTGTTTTTGTATGTGTGTGTGTTTTTAACAGGCCATTTCCTAAGGAGATGTTTGTCAATTTCCTTTGGCATGCAAGGTGATAAGATAAAGCATATAAAAGTGGTTTGCAATTTTAAGTCCTACAAAAAAGCCAGGCATTTGCATAAATTTGAAGTCTTAGCTACTATGTCAGTAACATTTGGTGAAATTTTCAACTATGCCAAATTGGGAATAGTACAGAACCAAAAAAACTAAAGATGGGAGGCTGGGGGTTTAGCTCAGCAGAAGAGTGCCTGCCTGGCGAGCACAAGGCCCTGAGTTCAGTCCTCAGCTCTGGAAAAAACAAACAAATAACTGAAGATGCTGTTTTGAATGGATTTTCTAAAACCCTATAGTATTAGCATAGAATGCAGGGCAAGTTAAGGTTATCATTTCTTTTTTTTTTTGTCGGTCATGGGGCTTGAACTCTGGGCCTGGGTGCTGTTCCTCAGCTCTTCAGCTCAAGGCCAGCGCTCTACCACTTGAGCTACAGCGCCACTTCCGGTTTTCTGGTGGTTTATTGGAGATAGGAGTCTCACGGTCTCTCCTGCCTGGGCTGGCTTTGAACCGCGATCCTCAGATCTCAGCCTCCTGAGTAGCTAGGATTACAGGTGTGAGCCACCAGCGCCCGGCCAAGGTTATCATTTCTATGAAATGTCATTGTTTGAAAAAGGTTTCAGCAAGAATGTAGCAAGATTTTTTTTTTCCCTGAAGGTTTCCTTGGACTGGGAAGTTGGCTCAGTGGTAGAGTGCTTGCCTTGCATGCATGAGGCCCTGGGTTCAATTCCTCAACACCACATAAGCAGAAAAAAGCTGGAAGTGGTGCAGGGACTCACCTGGTAAGGCGCTAGCTCTTGAGCTGAAGAGCTGAGGGCCCAGAATTCACCCCCCCACCACTGACCAAAAAAAAAAATTGGTTTGCTTGTTTAAGTTAGAGTGAAGTAACAAAATACAACATGTGCTATAGTTCTATTATTTAAATTTAATAGCTAAGTTCTCTAATTCTAGAAAAGATTAACATGGAGGTTAGCAGCATGGTTATATTTTCTTTAACATAATTAACTTTCACTTATTACCAGCCTTTAAAAAGAGTGATTGGGCAAGGGTATATTTGCACAATTTTCCTATGAGAAAAGCAGAAAACTGCAATGTTAATAAGTTCAGAAGCGATTCCAAATTAATGCAAGCATAACAATTTTTTTTCTAAAACGGTTCATTTATCCATTTAATGCAAAATTCAAAATTTTTTTTCTAAAATATGACACAAACTGCTGCTATCCAAATAAGTTGCTTAAAAATCTATGAAGTCTTCCAACTTTTGAGACAATCATTAATATATTTAATTGGTTAAAAAAATGATTGAACTGTGCTGTGGTCTTTAAAACCTTCAATAAAGTTGAAGAATTAAATTTGCTATTTTTGATGTTGGCAAGCCAATTAAAAATGAATTTTAGTTTATACTTAATAGCACCTAGTGATACACTTAACAATCTATTTCTAAACTTTTCATTTGGATTTCATTAAATTTTCGTGTATAATAAATATGCCCAATTTACGCATAACTTGGTGCATTTTTAAACAATTTTTAATTTCCTGAGGGCTACTGAGTTTTCGGAAACTATAAACATTAGAGTAGCAGTTTTAACAGCTTGTAAATGCTAACACATTCTTGCATTATATTTCAGTATGTTTCAGTATGAATACAAAGTTGCCTTCCTATACCTGGGTAGGAATCGCATTAATATGATATCTAGACTAAAGCAATTGAAACACGCACCTGCGTATCTTTCACTTGCACCAAGTTAATCTAAAGATTACTTTGCCATGCTTTGAAATTGTGTGTGTTCAATTAAGTGCAGCCACTAAAAAGTTTAATGGTATCACCAAATGACTTTGTTCTGTTTTAAAAACCACATATCCCTTATTTTGGTAAATTCCATGTATTTTTTATCAAGTTTTTCTCATAATTACAAAGTTATTTAAAAAACTGTCTTCAAATCCCATTGGGTTAGATTTAAATTTTTAATTTACCTAAATGAGTTTTAACCTCAATACCTCATCTATTTGAATACTAAGTGACCATAACTGTCATTAACCATCAGAGACTCACTTCAAAAGTGCCATTTTTCTTTCTCTATCAGACATTCTCTCAAATGAGAATGTACAGGTCCTAGATCTTCTTATTCTAACAAGCATTCTTCTTTCCTCACCATTCAAGACATCTTTTCTGACCCTGAAGTTGATCGCAGGATAGGTTTCAGACATGACAGTTCAGTACTTTTGTGAGAATGGAAATTTCTGTAACTTTTCTGTTTATATATTTAAATGTGAACTCATATCAAAATTAATTAATTAGAATTTATTTAGACTAGGAGTACAAACTTAGATGTATATTACTGTGTAGCAGCTATATTACCTTGGCTGGTCAAACTGCTACCCCCTTGCAAATCTAGCTTAAACTAACTTTCATTTGTCATTAAATAGTTCCAAAATGTCAAAATGGTCCCAAAGCATATTAATTTCCATAAATAATTCAATATCCTGTCCCACATTACACAATAAAATGCTATTTCTTAGGAATGTTAAAGGAATCTTCACTTCAATTATATTTATATTTCAATACAAATTTCAAGAACAACCTTTACAGGTTTTAAGACTTTACACCCTTCAGTCTGATTTCAAACAAAAATCAACAGCAATTTGTAGGCTTTGAAATATCACAAATTTAAATATACTTCTATCATGAAAAGATTATGTACTGAAGGGTGGCATTCACGATGCTAGTTTAAATTATTAATAGGCTTTAAGCCTTTTACATTTACTTTTTTTTGCCAACTCAAAACCAAAAGGCCTAATTCCCTGTTAGTTCAAGTTTCAAATTAAAACTCAAATGATACAAATGACCAAGTCGTTGATACACTTGGTGTGTGTGTGGGGGGGGGAAACAACACTGTAAACTTTAACTTTTCAGAGAACGGCAGGACACCTAATATTGATTTAAATCCTATTTTCACTATTTCCAAGCTGTCACTATTCATGGCTCCTCCCTGAGACGAATCTATCAGTGATCAATAAAAGAAAACCCCCACATGCAACAGCGAATGGAACTTCCTTGACCTAACTCCAGGTGGTTACCAGAAACAAGACTTTAGATTTCAGCAGCAAAGAGAGGATGAAGAACATAAGACAGCGTCTTGCCTGTGGCCTGGGGCTGAAAACAAGTGACACCTGGGAACAGTTACCTACTTGATCTTCTCTGTTACTCAGAGAAGGGCTCCAGTTACCTCTGGTCTCCTTAACTCCCCAAGATCTCACCTGTGAACAGACCCTGAGTCAGTCTCTCACCCCTGACACCTGGTATCCCCACCACTGACTTGTCCTGGAACCATCACCATCAACAAATGAAAAAACTTACTGGGGATTCACCAAATAAAACGAACTTCGTATGTGTAGTAGGTATGAAACTTGTCACAGAAATGTGACAGTCAAGTCCTTAAGACACATGAGGAAAATCAAGTTGTGATTAGGCAAAAAAGAAACTTTCCCTAGCCTCTTTACAACAAACCTGACCTTGCCCTTCTGTCGGGGCGCGGAACACGCTTTATCCAGAACTTTGCAAATGAAGCTTCTGACACAGACAGCCCATAGGAAGCACCAAATTGCCGGGAGGAAACCTGAGTGCTAAGTAAAGCCTCTGGAAGAAGAAAAGATCAAATGAGACCAGCTCTGCGGGGTCTTTCCAAGGTGACCCTGAAGTTAACGTATTTATTTTCACGCTGCAATCGCTGATCGCTTTACAGAGACACATCATGCTGTAGCTCTGCGTGGAGCTGAAGACAAAACAAACATTAATGTCGTAATTATAATTACTCTTTAACAAAGCTATTATTAAATAACCTGTACAAAGCCTGGAGCGGTCCTGGTGAAAACAGTTTCAATCTCTCAAGGTCTTTCGGCTTTTATTCAGCAGCGTGTCCTATCTACAAGGCCCAGGGTAGTACTCCCAAACTGCAGGTCTCCCGGGCGGTGGCAACGGTGCGGACTTTGTGGATTCATCCTGGCACAATCCAGGGGCTCTTAACCATGACCCCACTGGCACCAGTTCCCAACGGGGTCTCCCTGGCCTACTCTGTTCCAGGGCCAAGGAAGCTGGGAGCCAGTCCCCACTTTGGGCAATGGCAAAAGTCCTTCTGCAGGGGGTGTGTGGAGGGGAACCCTAGGCTGGAGTGATCGGAACAGCGTCCGGGGGCGCTCACAGGTCTCTGGGGTTCTCCCGCTTGACGCCGGCCTCGACAACTTTAAGCTTCTTATTTTGGTGAGTCTTGACGTGCTTGGCCAGGTGGTCGCTGCGCATGAAGCGCTTGCCACACTCGGGACAGGCGAAGCGCTTCTCGCCCGTGTGAGTCCGCAGGTGCCGCTGCAGCTCGTCTGAGCGCGTGAAGCTCTTCCCGCAGAAGAGCCAGTTGCACACGAAGGGCCGCTCGCCCGTGTGCCAGCGCAGGTGCGCCTTCAGGTGCGACGTCTTGCCGTACACCTTGCCGCAGCCCGGCACATGGCACACGTGTTGCTTCTTTTTACCCGGCTCCGCCTCGGGGGCGCCGCCCGCCGCCTGGCAGTTGGGGCAGCGGCAGCGGCGGCACCTCCTGGCCGTGGCCGCCAGGGGGGCCTTGGTCTGCAGCAGCGCAGCGATCTGGCTCTGGTACTGCGCAAAGTCCGACGGGCCCAACACTAGGCCCCGCTGCAGGGCGGCGGCGGCGGCGGCAGCGGCGGCCGCTGAGGCTGGGAAGCGCGGGGTGTGGGGACCCCCAGCACAGGCGCTGGAGAGGCTGCCCCCGGGAACCCCGGAGGCCCCGGGTCCAGAGCCGGACTGCGGGATGCTCCACCAAGGGAGATCGTCGGGGGCCGGGTTGGGGGACAGCTGACGGCAGGTGGGTGGTGGCGGCGGCGGCGGCGGCGGCGGGGGCAGCAGGTTGGAGTAGCCCGGGGGCAGCGCGGCCTGCGCGGCGTACGGCACGTAGGCGGGAGCGCAGCTGGCAGGCAGAGCGGCCATGCTCGAGGGCAGCATCTTGACCGGCGAGAACTCGTAGGGGTAGGAGGGGTCCGCCGGGGGCGTGAGCGGCAGCTCGTGCGCAGCCCCGAAGGACGGCTGCAGGTGCGGTTTCTGCGGCGTCAACCCCAGGCTGGGGTGCGGGGGCGCCAGCGCGCCCGGCGAGTGCGCCGGCATGTCGCTTGTCCACGGGTGGAAGAGCCTGGAGGGCGAGCCCAGCGCTGGGTCGTAGGGCACTTGCAGGAAGTCCGGGGCCGCCGCCGCGGCGCCCGGCTGGCCGATCCGGCTACAGGTGGCGGCCAGCAGCGCCAGGGGCGAGTGCTTGCCCAGGTCCGGGGAGGCGCTGGGGGTGCGGTCCTGCATGGGCCGCCGCGAGGGAGGGCGGAGAAGACACAAAGGTTAGCGCTCCCAGCACCGACTCGGGGCCGGCCCGCCACGCCCGCTGTTATACTGCCAGCCCTCTTCCGCCCGGCCGCCGCCCCCCCGCCCCATCACTGCACCCCACGTACGCACCCACGGGTCCCAGAAAACTTTCTGTGTCTGAGCTAAGTGTGGAGCGCGCGGGCGCCTCACAGTAAACTGCTTGGTGCCGAGAGGAGCCATCTAAATCTTTAAGGAAGGCTCAAAGTGTGGAGGGGCTGCTCCCCGCTCTGCAAACACTCACGGCCTGGCCGCCCAAACGCTCGCTCGCCTCGGCATCTTTGAACCTCACTTTTCCTGGCTCCTCTCTGGCTCTTCCTTGGCCGAGCCCAGGCTGAACTCAGCCGCAGGACGCAGTAAGGTACAGGCCCAGCTCCAGCCCTCCCACTCATCTTGGGAACCCCCCCCCCCAGATCCATGCGTCCCTTTCGCAAAGGGACCCCAGGTTAGGTTTGAAGGAAACACCCCTAAATCTGACTCCGACTGCATTCGCCAACAGGGGTCTTTCCCCGAATTAGGGGTGCATGAATCACCTTGGGAGATCCAGACACGGCCCTTCCCACCTGCTCCCGCCCCTCTCCGGGCCCAGTCCTGACCTGGAGGAAGGCCTGTAAAGAGTCGTTCCGGAGGACGGCCACGGCGGCCATGGTTACTGCTCGGGGGCCGCTGGCTGCCGAGCGGGGCGCCGCCACCGAGGCATGGACACCCGAAGGCGAGCACGAACGGCCGCCCAGCGCGCCTCGGCGTCCTCCCCTCCCGCGCCCCGCTCGCTCGCCCCGCGCGCGGTCTGAGCGCTTCAGGATCACCTCCAAGAATTTGATAAGGACTTTGCTGGGCCGCCAGCCAGTCAGAGCGAAGATTTATGGCTTTGAAGTTTGCCGCTACCCAATCATCAAAGAATAGCGGCTCTTTCAGAAGCGAAAGCAAATCCTTTGAATCCACAAAGCTCCTATGGTGTGTTTGTTGGTCTGGATAAAAGAACTGATTATTAGGGGGGATGGGAAGGGAGGAGATAAAGGCGGGACAATTAATGAAGTAATCACTATGTGGGAAATGTATATACACAAATAATTGGATTTTCCTGATCAAAGGGGGCCTTGCCGCCTGGAGACTCGCGCTTGGGTTGCTGGAGACACTCGATCTCCCCGCCCCCACCTTGCAATTAAAGATTTGCACCAAAGCAGCGCCCAAAGTGACAAAGTGTCTTTGTTATCTCTCGAGGAATCTGCCTTCAGCCTCCAGCACGGCACTTTTTGAGACTGGGATGAGGGCAACTCTTCCCCAAGCACACCCCGAACTCTCACAACACATTCACCCACCCTCGAAGACTTCGGACCGCAGCGAGCCTGGGGGAGGGCGGGGGGGGCAGGCGGGGCGGGGCGAGGCGGGGCACGGGACCCACAGCACCAGGTTCTCCAAGACTTCTTGGGAAGTTTTCCTCAGATCTCAACTTTTATAAAAAGTAAACTTAGAAACACATCCACACCGCGTTTACTCCCAGAGCTGAACTGGTCAGGATACCAAGTAAGCTGTCCACTCCAGGGGGAAAATATGTGCTATGCCTCCCATTCTCCCCTGACGAGCCGCCCTAGTCTCGGGCGGGTGGGGGGCAGGCATCCGATCGCTGTTCATCCCCCGGCCATACTAGTAACTAGTGTACGTTAACATGTCTCCAGTGGAACAGAGATACGAGAAAACTACTGGAAAAATGTAAAATGCTGTCCAGGAAGCCCTCCCTCCTTTCCTTTCTTCCTTTCCTTCCTTCCTTCCTTCCTTCTTTCCTTCCTTCCTTCCTTCCTTCTTTCCTTCCTTCCTTCCTTCCTTCCTTCCTTCCTTCCTTCCTTCTTTCCTTCCTTCCTTCCTTCCTTCCTTCCTTCCTGCCTGCCTGCCTTCCTGCCTTCCTGCTTTCCTGCCTTCCTGCGATCCTTTCTGCCTGCCTGCCTGTCCCGGGCTTGAACTCAGAGTTTGAGCGCTGTCCCTGAGTATTTTTGCTCAAGGCTAGCACTCCACCACAGGAGCCACACAGCTCCACTTCCAGCTCTTCTGGTGGTTAATTGGTGATACGAGTTCTCACAGACTTCTCTGCACCGGCTGGTTTACAACGGCGATCCTCAGATCTCAGCCTCCTGAGTAACTATGATTACAGGCGTGAGCCACCGGTGCCCAGGAAGCCTTTCTTGCTGTCGTTCAACAAACCCCGTCACACAGAGGCTTCTCAAGAGGGGCAAGAAAGCCAGCACGAACTCTTGTTACAATATATTTGCAAAGAAAAAGTCCATCAAGGCGGGCACCTCGCTACAGTCGTGGTTCCTCACTGATGCTGTCCAAGTGGTGTCTCTCCCCACTACTGCCCTGCAACCTAGTTGGCCACCCACAGCGTATCCTACTGAAGGGGGGAGGGAGACTCTAGGGGCAGGGGAGGAGGAAGAGTCCGGCAGGAGGCCACGGCCCCCACTGCACTGGGGAGCGGGCGCTCCAATCGCCTCGGAGGCCCTGCAGTCATGGCAGTCACATGACTGTATGGCTAAGTGGGCCACCTGAGCAGGAAGGTAGCCACATTCTTTTTCAGCTACTCAGCTACTCGGTCTTCTCTCTGAAATCACCATCTTCTCCAGAATCTCGGAACCAGCTGCGGGTTTCAAGGACCTGTGTGTGCCCAGGACTGGTGTTGGAGGACCAGTGGCCCCATTCAGCAGTTAGCTTACCTCTAGGATCCAGTGTGCGGGTTGTACATGGGCATCCTTCACCTGCCAAGGCGAGGCCCACGTTCTCCGAGCCCCGGGGGCGCTAGTGACACGGTCACATCTCACTGAACTCGAAGGGGCCACCCACGGCCTCACTACAAAGGGCCCTTCTCACACCTCACACCCGCATTCCATCCTTCTCCCCAACCCGGCCTGCTCTTCCTTTCTAGGTATTCTGCAAAGGGGAAGGAGAGAGGGCTGGCCGCCCTGCTCCTCCCCGTGTGGGACAGGAAGCTGCGTCTTGGAGAAGCCTGGAAAGGCTTGGAGGGGCCTGGAAAGGCTGCTCAGGGTAAGTTTGGAGCCAGGGTGTCCTGTGGTGAACACTGTCGGGGCACTTGTCTGCACCCTCCAAGGTGTTTAGAGCTAGTTTCTTAGCTTTTTGTCTCCACGCACTGGCTCTGCTGGGCTTTTCCAAGCTGCTTTCCCTGGAGGTGGCCAGGCTTAGGCTGGAAGGCATCCTCCTTGCCGATAATTTTTTTTTTTTAATCCAAAAGGGCAGAAGAGCCAATTCACATTTCTATAGTCAAAGGAGCTAACTACTCTTCCCAAATGCCCCCCATGAGCTAATTAAATCATCATTGGTGGCTAGCAGGATAAAATAGAGCAGTAACTTTGTGATCAAGAACTCCCATTACTGAATAGACAAGTTAAAATAGAAAAAGAACTCTCATTACTGAAGCCAGGTTTTCCCCACTTTGCCACTGTAGATTGTGGAGAAAAAGTTATGTGTCCGTTTCTTCCATCTCTGAAATGTGCTCCCTTTCTAGAATGGCTGTGGCTTACAAGAGTTAATATGTACAAAGTCTGCAGGACAATGATGTGCACACGGTAATCTGTCTCTGCTCTTCGACATTTGTGAAAACTCACCGGAATTCCAGCTCTCCCAGACCCTGGGTGAAGTTCAGAAGGCTTCAGGAATTGCTCTTTAGCCTCCCTCCCCTTACCCTGAGCTCCAAAAGAAAAAAAAAGGGGGGGAAAGGAAAAACAAAACCAAAAATTAAAAAAAAAAACACCAACCTTCTTCTTCCTAATGAAGTAATGTTTGGAGCATCTATTAAAAATGCAATGCTGGGAGATCAAAGTACAATATTTATTTTAGAAATTTGTTGCAATCACCAAGAGATACAGGTATCAAGGCCAAATGTCAGTTCCGTTACACAAAGCCCCGCGCCTGGAAAGAGCGCGTGGCTGCTCTGCCATAATGTAAAGAGACATCAAAGACCTAGCGTGAGGCAAAAGTGCGCAGCCGGGAGCGAGGGAGCGAGCCCGGGAGGGCCGGCACGCCCCCAAACGGCACGCGGAGGGGGGCCCAGAGGCGGGGGTCAGTTCAAAGCGGTATTCGCTGGGGCGTGAGTTCACAGGAGGGAAGGTTTAATGGGCTTGCCTTTGTTAGTGGGTGTTATTGGTGCACAGTTGACACAGGAACTCCTATGTGGTCCTCCCAACTGGGGGCGGAGGTGGGGAAGCAGCGAATTGGGGGCAAACTTTCACCCTGGCAGGGGAGGGCGTTGAAAACCTGCCACCCGGTGGTGACTGGCCCGGTAGAGCCGTTCAGCAAGCAGCCAGGTTTCCTGGCTGGGAAGTTTGCGGCTCAGTTCCTTCGCCAGCGGGCTGGAGGCAAGAGCTGCCCAGGCGCAGCTTGGAATAGGCGGGTAAGCCAGCCCGGCGAGGCCTCTGCGCACCAGGGGGCGGACCTGCTCTGCCGCCTACCAGGTAACCTTCAGGGGTTGCCCAAGCCTAGCACCTGCCTAGGCCATTTCCTTCCGGCAACTGGAGAACCATGCCTCTGGCTTACAAGCAACCGGAGTCATTCCCCCCTCTCCAGTTGATTTCTTTAAAAATCTATGCAGTACCTACCAGTCCCTGGTGATTCATTTCTGTAATCATAGACATTCAGGAGGCTGAGATCTGAAGATCGTGGTTTGAAGCCCGCCTGGGCAGAAAAACCCAGGAGACTCTTATCTTCAATTAACCAGCAAAAAGCTGGAAGTGGAGGTGTGACTCAACCGATAGGGTACTAGCTTTGAGTAGAAAAAGGTCCAATGCTTAGGTCTTGAGTTCAAACCCTAGTGAAGGCACACATACACACATACATCTATATATTGATTAGGTCATCACAACAAATTCTTAACTCATTGGCTTTCTTTAGCGGTTCTATTTAGCAGGCTAGATCTAGCCCCTCCCCTGAAAAGCTCAACTTCAAATTAACCTGTGTCTGCCTAGTAGGGTACCAGTCTTTGCTTTACCAGTGATTCTGGGAGGGGAAGGGGGAAGTATTTCTTCTGGTAATGGGGCACTGAACCTCTGGTGGATGCCTGCACATTGCTTGGGTCTTCACAACAGGCATTTTCAGAACAGTCCTTTGGCCTCATTTTGAAGTCTTGCTACAGCAGAAAGCTGCTATGGTTTTTGACTCTCAACTTGGAAAGGATCAAGCTTTGCCTCTTCAGTTTCAAAGTTGTGTTTTCTTTGTGTTTTCAGTGGTAGGGGTGGGTTGGGGAGGGATTGCAATCAGATACTCTGTAAGTTAATTCTGAGGATTTGGAGCAGTCTTTCTGTTTAAGCCATAGACCAAATTATAGAGGGCCTAATTTCTGATTGTGACATAGTGCTTTTCATCATTAATAAGGTGGAGAGTTCAGTCAAAAGCAACTGTGGTGGTGGGAACATAGCTTGGTAACCATTTCCCTTGGGAAGTTTCTCTTTCAAGGAAGGAAGGACATTAGGTTTCAAACCTAGTGTCAACTTTAAATATAAATGTCTCCACTGGATTAGTATGTAATAGACACAAAACTAGAAAGAATTCTTCACCTGCTCTGATTCCTTCCTTCATTTGAGAGGGATCAGAAACAGTGTTTGCATGATGTGCAATGTATGTTGCAGTGTTTACTGTGCTAGGAGATAGAATGGTGGGTAGCAATGTCATCTGTATGACAGGTGTTAGAGAGCACACAGATGCAGAGGAACTTCAGAGGAGAGAAGAGAGAAAGACTGGTAAAGGTAAAGGAAGCTTTAGCAGAAAGCTGGGATTTGGAGGAGACCTACAGAATTTTACTATGGTGACCAGAAAGGAAGAAGGTGAAGGTAGAAAAAAGGGAACCCCCTTTCTGGTGAGGAGTGGAACACTGATGGGATTTTGGGCTTTTGATTTACAATTATCGACAGGTAGAGCTGGGTTACTAAAGTTTGAGTTGAAACCCATGCTATCTATGTTAGGAATTTATTTTAGTTTTTCTGAGCAGATGAATAACATAAATTCAGCTTCATATCTGA